TACGAAATTATTATTATTATTATTATTATTGTTGCTGCATGTGTTTGGCTTGTAGTACATGTTGCTGCCACATGCTGCTGCATCTGTTGCATACATAATTTATTGTCCCTGACAATCTAATTATTTAGTTTTGCCGTTGTAGCTGATGAGCGAGCAGCTGCATGTTGCATATTGATGCTCTCAGCCAAGCACTAAAGGACTTAAAGCCAATTTCATAAATGCAGCAGCAATCAATCAATTTATAGCACTTTTGTGACATCAACTAACAGGTAAGCTGCACTTTACTATTATTTAATAATCAATTTTAATTAAATGGAAGCAAATTTCTTGCTCTATTGTAAAACATTCAAAAGCTAAATTATTATTCTAAGCTGAGTCCATTGAAAATGATAAACGGACTTAATGGAGACAGGCAAAAGAAGGCGTGACTGACCTTATGAAGTATATACGTCCTTGATCAGAATCAGCAATTGAGTCGATCCAGCTCTGTTCATATATCTGTCTGCCCGGCGCTGGGTATTTACTAGTCGGACACTCCCAATAAAACTTTAAAGATTGCAGAAAATATCGAGTAGAAGATTTAAAGGGAAATTCATATATAATCCACATATCTAAGTCATCCATTTCGTTTGCATTTATATATACTCTTCCTGTATACTTCTTGTAAGTCTCATCTACTTGATATCAATTATATTTCCTACATAATTAAATGCCAAATTGTTCATCCTCTTCGTCTTTTAAGCCACATTTTTCGCCATCTCAAAACAATTTCGTTATAGATTTTGATTTATTTCAAGTAGCTCAATGTAAAAGTACACAATGATTAGTGCCTTTTGCAATGTAATTACGCTGCCTTGCCCTCAAGTGGGCGGCGGGCGTGGCAAGCCAAAATAAATTGCTTTGGGCATTTGGAAATCGAGTCGGAATAGCTTTTAGCCTCGAATCACTTGCAATGCACAGCAATCGTATAATTAAATCAATTGCAGACCGAAGAGCAAAGACAAAACTGAAAAGGGGCCGGAGCAGGGAAAGGGGCGTGGGCCGACAGGGCGTATGCGCGATAAGCAAAAGTTGCATGCAGCAAAGCAGCAAAGCAGCAAGAATCCTGTCGTGTCATGCAATTATCGAGTTTTAATGAAATTTCACGCACAGTCATACAAATCCATTAAAGGGCGAAGCCAAAAACTCGACTCTCAAAAACGAAATAATGAGAAGAAAATATCTAATGGTCAGTTGGTTGGCGGGAATCTCTAATTACCCAAGACACTGCTCGGTGGCATAGTTAATTGCATTGCCAATGATGCGGCAAAAATCGGTTTTCACGCACAATGTGACAAAAAACGAAGTGCCACGCCTCCTTAAAAAGCCATTTAGTCATTAGGGCTGCTCGAATTGTGATTAAAGTTGTGAAGCGAACTTAATCAACTGGCAGTTAAATAACTGTTGGCTAAATTGAACACTACAAACTGTTGGCAAGCAGTTGGAACAAGTTTCATTTTCTTTTTCTATTTTTTTTGGTCGTCTAATTAGGCCATATTCGCATTGAATTGCAAATGACATTAGAAAATTTGCAAGTAAAAGTTTACAGCCAACTCGAGGGTGGCTCTGTGTGTGGTTCTTAACGAGTTTCCAACTCTCAGCCGCAGTCAAGTTGTGTGCGCTGTGTAAATTAAATAAAACATTAATTGCTTGCTTACGTCACGTAATTTACCCAAGCCACAGACGCCAAAACCAAACCAACATTCGGGCCACACATTCGAGCCACATTCAAGCCACATTCGCGCCAGCATTCGATCCACATGCGAGCTCCCCGAGCAATACATTGCCAAGGCAATGCGACACGTAGTGCCAATAAATCTCAATTGATCCCCGCGGTGTTGTTGCAAAAGTTCAATTAAAAGTCTCCCCGTGGCATGCCTCACTGTGGCCAACATCGTGACACACTCGCTCGCACATACACACACACACACACACACACTCGCCCACTCAACTGTTGCCCCAATGGCAAATGGCTGCAAATATGCTAAGTGGTCAAATGTGCACACACTATTTGCATGCACTGTGCGCCACATGTTCCATGTCCATTGTCCAGTGGGAGCAGAAGACAGGACATCGGATAGCCCAGCCGTGCACTGGAGTCAAATGCTCTACCTCATTATCATCTGTTATTCCACCTATTTCTCCCACTCCCACTCCCATTCCTACTCTATTTCCAGCTAAGCTAAATTGTGGGCCAACAAAAAGTGTTGCACAGTTATTAGCGCGCTATTCAAGTTTATTGGGCCGCTTGCAGTTTTAATTAAAGTCAGGGCAATGAAAGCCAACAGTTGTTTCTAATGATATGAGCTGAAGCTTAGGCTTTCATTTAATTAGAGCTTTTGGTAATTAATCAAGCTTTAAGCTGAGCTTAAATGCGCTTTCAATTTTGGTTTCTATGTTTAAAGCTACAAAATTGATTAATTTTTTCTTAAGAACTTTGTTTAAGGCTTTAATTAAGCAAGCTTTGATGTGCTTTAAAGCTCTGAAAGTTTACCTTGAATATATGCGTTTCATAGAAAGCTTTATATTATTAAACTAATTCTTTATAAAGCTTTTACTAATTGCTCAGACTCTACTGCATATAGATAATATTAGTAGAAATAATATTTTAAACTATTATGGTGCTTAAGCAATACCTAAAGCACATTAAATGATGGTATAGCCCATGGCATAAAATATATAAAAACTAAAGAGATTGAGCTTTAAGCTTCATAAAAGTTTTATAAGATTTAGTTCATAATAATTTCTATTGCTTGTGGTATATATTTTTAAAGCTTTAAGCTTTTTCAATTTCTTGCTAATTTCAAACTTCCTTCATTTCTAACCGCTTCACAACACTGGCATTCCATGCCTTACTCCCTTTCAGCTTATGTCATTGGAATTTAATTGAATGTTTCAGACAGAAATCAACACAATCAGCAAGAAGCCATAAACGCTCACATTTTGGCTGCCCAATGGTTATGACAACGAGTCCATCCAAGTGACCAGCAGAAATTTGCCATTTCACCAGAGTGTGCCTGTGTGTGTGTGTGTGTGTGTGTGGGGATAAGCGGGCAGCAAGTGCAAATAATATTATGCTTAACTGCACGCACGCACACATATGCCTTGCTGTGCAGAGCTCGACATGTCCACAGGGCACATGGAGGCCGAACGGGTAGAGAGCGTGGTGTGTGCATGCCACCGGAAGCGGCTAAGGACAACACGCACAACTTTACTTGGCCAAACAGAATTAAGGAACCGCACGTACGCACACAGGACGACAGTCAAGCAGCAATGTGTGCATGTGTGTGTGCGTGTGTGCGTGTGTTTGTAATTGTAATAACTGTTGTTCCGTATCGTTGTCGTAAGCTGCCTTGTTTGCCACTGTAATTGCCCAGACTACTTTCCGTAACTCCTGATCCTGGCCGTGGCTCTGCCATTGACAAGTTCAATAATGGCCATCGACCGCAACATCTGGTTTAGTTTGCCAGCCTGGCTGTCTGCCAGCCTGCTTTTACGGCTCGCAACTTGGCATTTGGTTTCAGTTTCAGTTGCAGGTAGTAGCAGCAGCTAGCCAGCCGAGCGCCTAATTGAATAGCCGCTCCACAGGCTGGCGGTGGCAACAGTGAAACATTAACTGACATTTGAGCCAACACTAATCTGCATAGAATTTGCAACTTGCCAGTCTGTGCCGAGAACTTACTTATCGCAGGACATTCAGCTGCAGATGGAGGAGACACACTCACACACACACACACCCCCATTAATATGCTGTTGGCGCACATGTGCAAAGTCCTGGCTGCCAAACCCTTATCATATGCCCAGACTCTGGACGCCCTTTTCTGCTTTGCATGCATATCCTGGCCCATTCTGCTAGCTAACTGCATCTATTTAGCATAATTTGTTGTCTTGTTGGTTCTTTTTACTTTATCTCTACTTTCTTAACTGTTGTCTAGGATGCGGCAAGGCTGGCATCCTGGCAGTCAAGTATCAAGTGCTCAAGTTGCGCAGTTAGTGGCGACAAAGACATTGTCTAGCTTCTAGTTTTATGGGCATTTTATAGTTTATTAAAGTCATCATTTGATTTTACTTTCCATTTTTGGTAAAATGCCGAATATTTACATAAAGAAAACGGGCAGCATTTATATTCTTTAAAATAATTTTAGTACATTTTATCAAAAAGCTCTATCACCTATACATACATATGTAAATAGTAAAAGGACAAATAACTGTTAAAGGAAAAGCTTTACAATACTCACTTGCTCTCTTTCATTCTCCTTCTCTTCCTATGTCGTTGTAAATGCTATTCAAGCGTGCGCCATTTTTATTCAGCGAAAATTTTACCGGCACGCACTTTACCAATTACAACATGTAAGTTAAACGGCTGAAAATAATGAAAAAACACACTTACACTTTAAAAAAAAGTCGCGGCTCCAATTATTAATGTTTTACACTAATTGATACACTTAACTTTGTTTAACACATAAATTTGTTACACAGGCGCAGTGCACAGGCCCGTCGCGCACAAACACAATCGATCATCGAAAGAAATGCACTCGAACTAAATTGTGGAATTACTTTCCGGCGCCTGCAATACCCTCCGCTAATCCAGCAGATTCACTAATACCAAGAGCACCACTCAGCTACTTATCAAGCAAGAGCACACTGACAGACCTGCACTCACACAATGTACAATTTGAGTTGATCTTAGCGGAACGACCAATAGCGTGCAGGCAGAATTGCTCAATGTTCGCTCTTGAGTGAAATGTAGTGCAGTTATAAATTCGCTAATTTTCACTCACAGCAGTGCAATCAGCAGGCGCCAAGTGAGCTGATCTTCCATTCTTCACACTTACTAAATATTTAAGTGGAAAGAGAAAATACTTGTTGCTGGAAAACATTTTTGAAGTTTGTTTATATGCATTAAATACAATTTGAATTAGCGGCAAATATGTGCAGTATTTTACAACACTGCACAATACTGGTCAATAATGACGTCAGCAACAAATCAGCTGTTTTCTTGTTTTTGCCGCTGAAATAAAGTCAGACAAAAATTTGTTTATGAGTTCAATTTTTAGTAAAAGTTGTGTTTTTATTAGTGAAACTATTATGGTAAGAGACATGTTTAGTTTATTTATGCTGTGTGCTTATTGGCTATTTTATATCTACAGAATTTGGACGCAATTTTCCCAGATTTGAGCGGCTTAAAGCGCGCCTTGGCAAAATTGGTTTACAAAGACTTATCAAAGAGTTGTGTATATAAACATATACAGCATATATATGTATATATATTGTTAACAATCATTCACCATTTCCAGATGAACGTTTATGTGCCATTGAACCGAAGTTTGAGCCGTCTTGCGGCGTTTTCTATTGGAGCGCTCAAAACGTGGAGCAACAGAATCTTGTCGCCTATTTTCCCGTGGAGCACGCCAAGGATTTGGACTTTGAGCTGATTAGAAAAATGCAGGCACTATTATTAAACTATGTCATTATAATGGCTATAGTGGACAATACGGGAAATATATTGTATTATCAGATGTCGGAGGGATTGGGAGAGAGTGTCATATAAGAGATGGAGATGGATGTGGAGATCTTTGATACAGTGGAGCAGTTGCAACTGATGCTAGGTTGCTCCCCGTTCGTAACTAAAGAGCCACTACCAATGTTACGGCACTATTAATTCATTGCCTACAAACTGTCGAACCACGACGAAATGTCTAAAAAGATTAGAGCCAAATCTATATAGCTTTATAGCAACTAATCCGATACTCTGATGCTGAAGGAAAAGCCGTAGGGAAAAATCGTATCAAGCTGATATATAGTACTAAACAGTCTCTTAAACTGTCTACAAATAGTCATTATATATCCTATCAGATCATATCTTAAGCAATCCTCAAGCGTCTCCCCATTCATGGATTACGAATTCAACATTTTATTTATAGCGATAGATACATTTATTCAAAATCATATCATAAAGTTTGTTTTTTGTTTTAGCATAAATAACAATTATGTGCAAAGCTTCAAGCAGGTTCATTATATAGATATGAATCTAAAGATCTTTGCACACAATAAATGATATAATAGTTTTTGCATAATTATAATTTATGTATAATCAATAATCGTAATATAATTATCTTGACATTATATATTTATTTATATATATATATATATATATATATATATATATATATATATATATATATATATATATATATATATATATATATATATATATATATATATATATATATATATATATATGGCCTAGGCACTAAAATTCAAATAATCGAATGCTACAAACTTAGATACAAATTAAAAATTATATTTTCTTTAATTATAGGCATAGATGTATATATATATATTTAGATAGCTTAAGTTTATTTAACAATCTGATTGCATGCGTTTGAGAAAATCTGTTTTCTTAACTTGGGAAACGTTCTCAAATGTGGCGGTTTTAATTTTTTAAATGTTTTTCTCTTATATTTTTTATAGCGTGCACCGCAAATTTTTGTTTAAAAAAATATGAAATGAAATTTTTAAAAAATGCTCAAAGCAATACAGTTTTTATGTTTGTTGTATCGTTTTTTAAAGTACAATAATAAATAACAAATGTATAAGCATGTATATATATATATATGTATGTATAATTTAAAATATAAAATTAAAATAATATACTTTATTCTCAACTCGGGCAATGGGGCTGAGGAGTTGATTTGAAGGCGGCAAAAAATTATAATATACAAATTTAAAAATTGTAAATATTTGTTGTTTATCGATGAGCTCATTAAATATATGCATGTATATTTATATATATTGATGTATATATATGTATATAAGATATAATATTTGTATTATGACTTGTTTTTCATTTTGTTCAACATTTTTAATGTGATTTGTATGTTTCATATGAAAATAGGTGTGTGTGTATGTGTGTGGTGGCTTGTAAATAGCGGTGTGTGTGTGTATTAATATATATGTATAACATTCTCTCACTTGTTTACTCTCTCTCTCTGTCTCAACTAACATCTATATATAAAATATAGAACCTGGCTCTTATAATTTCTTTTGTTTCAAATAAAAATCTTTTCACAAAATTTACATCAACTTTACGTCTGTCCAAGTGCTTGTCAGCTTAGATATATATCTAGAAGCCATATAAGTATATATGTGTACATATAAATCGAAGCAGCTGACGTGATATATGATTGTATATATATGTTTATGTTTACGTTAATGATTGATGCAGGTGTTTACAATTTATGTAGAATATTCTAGGCAAATTTGGTCAATGCTTCTGAGCAAAAAATATGCACGAGGGTTTCACAATTTATATATATATATATATATATATATATATATATATATATATAGAAATGTATATAATATAATCAACCGTTTCTCATGTGTAAAAGCATTTTGTATTCTTGTTTTTGTTTTCTTTTAACTTATTTAACTGAGCTAGGCCCAGGGCCAAATTTAAGACTAAATGTATTTGGGTGGTTTATTAACACCAATCGGCCGTGTATGAAAAGTCCTGGAATAGCATCTGCTCCTCATCGGTCAAGTGGCGCGGCTCCTTTGGCGGCGTCAGCTGCGCCTTCTCTGACGTAAACTCCTCATCAAAGTTGGAGACATCTTCCAGGTGGTTCTGCGTGAATAAATAGGATGTATAATGCTTGATATGTTGATATTTATTTAATCATAGTCTTACGATGGTTGGCACAAACGGTGGCTTGACTTTGCGCAGCAGCAGATCATCCCAAACAATGGAGCGGAAGAACGCTTGCTTCTTAACATCCTCAGCATCGCGCTCGGATGAGCCCAAACGTCGTTCCGGATTCTTGCGCAGCAGCTAGAAGAATGAAATATTAACTCAATGATACCTCTAGAATTGCCATTTCAGCTCACTCACCCGTCGCATAACGGCAATGGCCTCCAGTGAGAGGAAACGCGGATAGCGCACCTCATCGTTAACAATTGAATCAAAGACCTCCTCCTCATCGTCGCCAGGGAACGGAGACTGTAAAAGTTACGATTTACAATATTAAAAATCATTTCGATTGTTATTAAACTCTTCCACTCTTACCTCTCCGACCAGCATCTCAAAGATCAGCACACCCAATCCCCACCAGTCGACAGCGCGTGTATACGATGTCTCCGTGAGCACCTCGGGCGCCAGAAACTCAGGTGTGCCACAGAAGGTGCCGGTGCGATCGCCAAAGCCCATGCCCTCCTTGCACAAGCCGAAATCGGCTATCTTCACATAGCCATCCGTATCGAGCAGCAAATTGTCCAGCTTCAGATCGCGATAGATGATCTTGTTCTCGTGCAGATACTGCAGACCCAGCACCACACACGCAGCATAGAAGACGGCGCGCGGCTCCAAGAACACATCTGTATGGATGTGCATCATTAAATCACCGCCAGCAGCGTATTCCATGACAAAGCAGACGTGTTGCTTCAAGTAATTAGAAATTTAGTTGATTAATTAATTGTTAATGCTTAATTTATGAATTACTAATATGTAGATTTTTAATAAATAATCAGAAACTTAAAATAAACAATACGTAATTACTGAATTTCAATTAATAATTACTTAAGTAATTACTAAGTAAATACTAATTACTAAATAAAAATTTAAGCTTTTCCTTTTTTTATGTCTTTCTTTAGTTTAGTTGTAAAGTTAATATCACTTGAAATCAAGGCATACATTTAATTATTTTTAATTACTTAAGAAAATCTTTTAAGTAATTGGGGATAATGGGTAAGTTATAATCTAATTTTTGCCTTTGAAGACTATTTTCAAGTCTATAAAATTTACTAAAAAATGTTGATTAATTAGTCGTAATTACTTGAGTAAAGTAATTCTTCAATAAGTAATTATATATAATTAAAAGTAAAATTAATTAGCTAGGGGTAATTATTATAATTATTAATTAAATGTATATTAGAAATATTAATTATAATTAATTATGTATGAATTATAATTAATTACATATTAATTATACTTAATTACATATTAATAATAATAAAATTCTTAATTACATATGTAAATTAAAATTACCAATTAATTTAATTTATAAAATTTAATAAACAATTAAACATACATTCTATAATTATTATTTTAGCCTAGTTAAACATCTCGAGACTCACCTCCGTTTGGAAGCACGAATACAAATTGACTAAGAACGGATGATGCATGGCATTGGCCACCTCGAAGATGCGCTTCTCGCTGAGCAGCGACTCCACCTCGTCCCTGGCAATGATGTCGCCCTTCTTGAGCGCCTTGATCGCATAGTATTGATTGTTGCTGCGCAGCTGCGACAATATCACCTTGCCGAAGTGTCCGCGTCCGAGCACGCTCAGCAGCCGGAAGTTGTCCATGGACAACATGCCAGCATTTGGTGGTGGCTGTGCGGCACGCAGTGCCTCATAGCCAGCTGGTTCGCGATACTGCAAGCCACGTGCCACATTCCGGCGGCCACCGCTGGTGGATGCGGCGGCGCCCGCTGTCGTCGCTTTGGCCACATTCAACTCGTACTGATTGGCATAGATCGGTTGCTGCTGCTGCTGCTGTTTGTCCTGTCGCTGTGTGGGCTGCGGGAATTGTGGTGCAGCCGTGTTGCTATTGCCATAGATTGTGGGCGTCGGTGGCTCCTGTATAATGGGCGATGATTGCACCACATACGGCAATTGTTGCTGCTGGGTGCCTACATAGAGCTTGCCTAGCTGCGGTATGACCTAAGTTTTATAATAAAAGATGGAAATTAATATGAAATTCGATTCGATATTCAAGTTAGTTAGTTGTGCAACTGAAAAGCTCTGAATATTGACAGTGTATATATATATATATATTTATATATATAGTGTGTTTATTTATATATATATAGATATATATGTGTTCAAGTTTTACCTCATCGAGCTCTTGAACAGACTCAACATTAGTTATTAAAACACTTTCGATGGCTGCCTCCTCTATCAGGCAGCTGTTGTTCAGGCTGCTGCTGCTGCTGTGGCTGTTGCTGCTGGCTGTTGCCGTTGTCTCAATGGGTTCAAAGGTTATATGTACAACATTGATCTTGGCCTGCAAGAGTTTATTAAGTAGTGGGACAGTGCAAAAAGAATTGCCAAAAACAAAATTTAACTACACAAAACACATACAGGTGCAGAGGCTGTTGCTGTTGCTGTTGCTGTGGCTGCTAGCAGCAGCTGTTGCAGCGGCCTGGTCAAGGCAAATTGATGAAATTGATGTGAATGTTGCTGCTGCTGCTGCTGCTGGTGCTGTTGTTGCTTATGTTGCAGCGCACACAGCTGCCGCACCATCTGCGCAAATGCCTGAAGTGTGGGCACAATCATTGCGCTGTTGGCGCTTGCAACATGACGGACAACAACTAATTCGTTTGGCCAAGAAACACAACTGAGTGCCAATGTCATGACCAGAGAGGCCAAAGCAATTCTTTTTCTATGTTTTTTTTTTTTATATTTTGGATGTCTATTTGCCATAGGTTTCAAAATGTGACCATAGAGCACATATGTATATATAGCGACTATATATCCGAGTCTGCAACGTGAATTGCTTTTAAAAATAATGGACAAAAAGGCAAAAACAAACGTAGAAATACGCTTAGCTGCAATTGGGTGAGTGTATGTGTGAGGGTGTGTTTGTGTGTGTGTGTGTGTGTGTGTGTGGACAACACTTAAGACATAGACCAAAAACGTATACAGGGTGCCCGTAAGACACTCAAGCTAAAAAGACATTTGCTGGCACGTGAAATGTTTCGCGTTTTAATGCTTCAATTTTCCGCCTTTTCAATAAACTTTTTTCTATTTTTAAGCAATTTCATTTTGCACACGTTATTTGAATATTGCCACACATATCTATGGGCTAAGTCCGCAAGGTATATCTAGCAAATGAGACAATATGTCTAGCCAGTTAT